TTTAAAATCAAGATTTGATTGATGTCAGACGGTGCAAGTATTATATGATTTAGATGTTGGTATAAAAGAGTTAAGTAGGCGGATTTCTTGCATACTAACTGCATCTCAAGGCTTAGTATAGCACCAGTGTATACAGATAGGATGTGGTACATAATTGTGTTTAAGAATTTGTTACTCGGTTTTCTTCCTTCTTCTGTATCAAATTCTTTCTCTTTCTTCTTTTCAGTTCCTTCTTCCGTACTTCTTTCAGGTTTCTCTCCTTATTTTCCCCTAAAATATCTTCCTTCATGCACAGCTTCCTTCTTCCCTTTCTTTCTCTCTGGCTTTCCTTTCTTTCATTCTCACTGCTGTCTGTCCTTTCTCTGTCCTTTCCCTTTTGAAGCACTTACCTTTGATTAGTAGAAGGACTGGAAGCCTTTTACTTTGTTCATCTCTCCATACATTGTTTACTTCCTACCGTCCTTCCCTTCTTGCCTTTCTTCAGTGGATGAGGTTACATGCTGTGATCTGTATGCAGGCAGGGGCGTTAAAAGCCTGCCAGTAGGGTGCATACAGCCAGTACCAGCTGTACTTTTACTGATCAAATTTTCATCAAAGGCCCAGGTCTCTTTGAGTGAGAGCCAGACTAGGACCAACAGGGAGAGTCGGAGTGACTCCTCTCCTCTACCGGCTCCTTCGGTCTGTCTCAAACACTTCGCATCACTCTGACTCCTTATCCATCACCCTCCTTATTTACAAATTCAGGTTGTAAATACAACTGCAAAATACTGTTCAGCTAAGAGTGCTGACAGTCGGATGGAGTGATGATAGACCTCAAACTGTCCGACTTGCCGCCATCAACAGCAAAAAAATCACTTGATGAAGAAAGATGAATCAAATAAAGCAGCACTTAATTTTTTAATTTTAATGCCATTTCAGTCTACATATACCAGCCATACAGACAGACGCTTCAACTATGTAGTTTAACTACTTTCGGTGCTTACTGTATATACAAACTGACAATTCAACTGCCTTGAAATTAAAATTGCAAATGCTCTGAAATGTAAAAGACACTTCCACCCCTTTCACAGTGCTTCAACTTCAGCTGACACTTAAAAAAAACTAAAAAATAGTTTTCAGTTTTTCATTATAGAGTATATTGAGTGGGTCTTGTGTTAGAAAAGTCTCCTATCTCCAATGAATCCATTTTCCAATTCAGACAGGAACACTACAGAATGCAGAAGAAGTCAAGGGGCTGATTTTTTTAAGGTCACAGTCTAATCTTTTGTATTCTCTGTATTCAGCTGACAGCCTCTCTCTGGTGTCTCTGGGTTTGAGGGTTGAACATCTTCTCAAGAGGTCAGGTACAGTTCTAATCTAATAGATACTCCAAATGGGGTGTTACATAATGCCTGACCAGTGTTCAATTAATCCATTTGGTTATAAAAATATCACTCCGCAAAATGTACCAGCAGTACAGCTCAACTTTATCTGCAAGAGCTTTTATCAACAGTGTGTTGCCAAAAGCACTGGTTTTGCCAGTTGAGGTTTAGCACGTTCAAGAGGAGAACTGGATGTGACAACTTAAGTCAATAAATATATTAAATTAATCATTTGTCATTCATGCATGAAGTCTTTAATTTGCATAAAGTAATCTCATTTTGCTGCTTTGGTTTGCCTGCCAAGGACTAGTTTTACAAGACAAAATAACATCAATAAATAATAATAACGCAGAGACTGGCAATAACTACAAAACTTTAGCATTATTGACTATTTTGGACATCAGACTTTTCCTAGGGTTAAGCTCAAGTTTAAATTTGGATCACAGACCTAAAAGTTGACAGGGTGTCCTACTCTGTGTTAGAGCTTAAATGACTAGTCGATTAAACGATTAGTCAATCAACACAAAATGAATCAGAAATGATTTTGATATTGGATAATTTGTTAAAGTCATCTTTCAAGCAAAAGTGCCTTGATATATATTTTTCTTTGACTTATGTGATTGTAAACGGAATATCTTCGGTGAACACAAGCAATTTGGGCTTTAAACATTTTTTATGGGCAATTTATAGACCCATGGATTAATTAGTTGACTGAGAAAACACTATTTTAAAGAGGATTTAATAAGTGGGGGTGTGTCCAGAGGGTGGGCCTAGGATGCCCACAAGTGTCTCCTTTGCAGATATACCCACTCAATCCTATAGTTTTAGTGGTATAAAATTTATGCCACATTTTTATTTTGGCCTTGTGGATTTGAATATTTCTGCATACTGGGATCTTAAACAGTACTGGAATTGTATAAATTGGGAATGACTGGAAAGCAGAAACATATAGACCTGCATAAGTCAGTTCCCCACTTGTAAACCCCAGTAAAAAAGAGTCTGGACCCACCCCTGTTGTAATGTAATGTAAAATCAATGGGCTCAAGCTATGCATTTGTGTCTGTTTTTCAGGGTTCTGCTAATGGGAGCTCAATTAATTCCAGTCCATCTTCCAGTTATCGTTCACCGGGACCCAGCAGATACTGATGCTGTTTGTTCTTTTACCACCCAACACCCCTTTCAGTCTTTTAGCCCTACATCAACAGCCCTTCAGTGGCATACCACCAGCAACAGTCAGTCATCTTGTCCATTAACAGCCTTCCTCCAAGGCCACCCATCAGCTATCCATCTACCTCCTCCATCCTTCAGGAGACCCTGACCTGCAGCTGGAGGAGAGGGACCCCTCAAGGCTCTGATGAAATACGGGAGTCTTGAACTGATTGACTCTCATAAAAAAAGAAATGGAGCTCAGAGTGACTGCTGAGAAATGATGAGGAGTCACAGTTTGCCTCCAATGTTTCAGACAAAACACAGAGGATTATCAGTTCGGAGGATATGCAAGCGTCTGTTTCCAAAGGAGCAGCTTCTTTCATGATCGTGTATGTCCGTGAAAGTCAGAGTAGGAGGCTCAGTGTTGTCCTTTTAAACATTTAAATACAATATTCTGTTATTTTGCTTTTATCTGAATTGTTTTGGGCATTTTGTTGTTGTATTGTTGTATAATTTAGTCAGCTGTTTATAGATGCCAGGCTTGGTAGTGGCTGACAAAGCAACCAGAGCCAATAATCCTTAATATTGATCTCCACTTTAGAGCTCAGAATAGTCGGACTATTGATCAGTTAGTCAATCGACAGAAAATGAATCAGCAATTGATTTGATAAGTGATATTTTCCAAGCAAACATGATAATTGCTCCCTAGTTGCAGCTTGTACATTCTTTCTCTTTATGTGGTAATGAACTGGATTTCTTTGGTTTTATACTTTTTGTTGGACAAAACAAGCAATTTAAAGAATCCCCACCTGGGTCTTTAGGAAATTTGGATGTGAAATATTGTAATGTTTCACTACTTTCTGACATTTTATATACAATTAAAAATGAATATATCCAGAAAATGATCAGCAGATTAAACAATAATGTAAATACTTGTTAAAGACTTACTGCTATTTAAGGCCCACTTAAAATACTGTTTAGGTTTAAAAAATGAATAGAGAGATTTAAATTTAAAGGCGTAATCTATGTGATTTGTGTTAGATTGTCTCACTTTGTTATTGGCTTTAGAGAACTGCTGAATACATTATACAAGTTGGTTTAATATTTAAACTGTAGATGTCGACAAGAGCCATAAAGTCAAGCCATAAAGTAGTGTTACGCTACTTTGAACTTGTTAAATAATACTTACATTGTGTAACAATGCCTGTGTCATCATTGCTTCTTTTAAGCCATAGCTTAAACATCCAGCACTTTACAAATAAGGAATAATGTTCCTGGACATTTTCTGTGTGTTAAAGCGCTGAAATGCATATTGTTCTTGGAAATGAGTTCTGCTACCAGATAACTCCTGGTCTGATTCCTGCCTGTACTACTAGCTTACTACCGTGGATAGGATATAGGTATGTATACCTGAATATGTGTATTAAAATAAAGATTATAGCAAGTCACAACAGCAGTGAAAGCAAAGTCATTCTGAGAGACAGAAATGGCCTCAAGATCTTTCAGTTTTCAAAAACATTACGATGCCTTACCACTGCTTTACCAGGTTTTGGGGGATTTTAAAAGCTTTTCTTTAGGTGATTTGCAGAGTTATCCATTCTTCGGAGGGCCTTATCATTCATTAAGAGACTTAGGCGTGTAATTAAAAGGGAGAAAGCAGAGGAGATATTGAGGAAAAGTGAGTTCAACACAAAATCCCCGCATTGGCAGACTTGAACATGATCTGAGTGTAATACCCCGCTGATGTCATTTTCACAGCCTCTTGTCACTAAGCAGATTCACACACACATACATACACACAGACACAGCAGGACTGGCACTATGAGTAAAGTGAGAAGCCCTGTGGAATATCTCTCCTATCTCGTTTTTCTGAATAAAGCAAGTCTGGAGTAATAATTTGTCGGCACTCTTCAGACACTTCAGAACATATTGTGCCTCCCATGGCCGATGGAATACCACCTCAAGAAAGTCTCTTAACAGTACCACAGTCTATATCTGAGGCACCTTGTAGGCAACCTCAGTTTACTAATGTTCTTGCTCAACACTTAAGACAGGGCTGTGTGCATAACTTAACAATCTGACACCACTTATTTTTGTAGATGGACAACACTACTGTATCTAAAACCTCTGCACCGCCACCACATAAAACAAGAACCAAAACGAGCAACAGTTCAGGCCTTCTTCATGTGTTTAACGCTTACACTAGCTTGGTAGGAATCAAAGAACGGACCAGCTGAGCTCAAGAAGAGGGAGAGAGAACTTACCTCAGCACTTGCTAATGGGATACTCTTGTCTGTACCAGCTATTAAAGGGCGTATTACTAAAGTCTTTGAGCATAAAAAAGCACTCATTTGTTCAGTCAATCTCCACCGTCCATCATCTGCTCTGTGCCATCTGTTTCATCGATCAGCCAACAGGCAGAAAGATCCCTCTTCAAGGTCTCGTTCTCTGCGGAAGTGGCATGATAATACACTTCAGTATGTTCCTTACCTCTTTCCCAGACAGGTAGTAGGCGGACAGCAGACCTCCAACGAACCGGATGTTCACCTCAAACACAGACACTTCGGCGTTCTGCAACAGGGGCAAAGAAAAGAAATACGAGATGATTAAAAAAACTAAATACAACTCATGAATATGAATTAAGCACAAACTCAATACAGAAATGTTAATGGGTCCTGTGGATTTGGCGGAGGTAGGCTTTCCACAGTTAGTGAGTATGGTATGACTAAGTCTGAGTAAGATTAAACAATGAGCCATTGAAGTGATTTGAGGAAGTGGCTAAACTAGAAACATGTCATTGAATAGTGCATATGAATGTGTTTAGGGTGTATTGAGCTATGGATACCTGCTCAGCATGAGTTCACAGTGCCCAAGCCTCACAGAACAGCTAGCTTAACTGTAGATATTGAAAGATATATATATATATATATATATGTGCAGTTTTTTAGTCATTCTGTCCTTTGATTAAGCAGCAGATTTTTTTAAAGGCTTTTTATGTACTTTGCTGATAAAATGCAGGCACACTCACTCCAATCGGGCACAGAACAGAAAAGGGCTTCACAACGCCTCCAAAGTTAAAAAAGAAATCCTTCGATACCAAACATTGCCTTAAATGGCAGTGTTAAAATGTGTTGCATCTAAAAATACAATGCCTCTATTTCTAGACAGTTTTTGGCAGAGAAAATGGGACAAACAATAACAAAAATTGGAAGTCTGTAAAGCCATTTGTCTCGGCAGCAGAACAATGAGGCTTCATCTCTCGCTCTCTTCACGTCTTTATGAACAGATTCCTGAGTCAGATGAAGTTTTTGTGCTTGACTGACAGCTCTCATAAGTCACAGCTGTCAACCAGAGATAGGACAATAGACTCTGTCCTGTAGAAAAAACAAATTATATGCCAGACAAAATGTGTCCCGTCATTTTTTCCTCCCCAAGTCTAAATGACTGATTGAGTAGTTAGATTGTGTAGCTAATTCGTCCTGATTAAAATTGAATTATTTCCTCCACAACACGCAGGCATTGGAAATGCAAAAGGGCAATATTATATGTTCCTGATGCCTGCTGTCTATTAGCAGTCCAGTTTAAATAAAGCTAGAAATATAATGTCCTATATTGGAATGGATAAACATCTGCATTTGAGCGGTTATATAATAAGTCACTTATTCAAGGGCAAACATTTACAGCAGTTTTCCTGCAGTATCTTGTGTGACTGCCTTTAGTAGACATCGCTGCCGTTAACTGTTGGACAGTGACCCTCTGAGTCAGCAGTTTTGTGACGTTATCTCATTCCTGCAAGAGGGCCTGACAGAGTTGGCAGGCGAGGAGTCAAGTCTCCTGATGTTGCAACATTAAAGCCATTAGCAGAGCGCACATGAAACTGACAAAGCATGGCCTTTTCCTGAGAGAGAACTAATTAAGGGTTGTAGCAAGATGAGTGGATGAGATAATGGCCGAAGTAGCCCTCTTTAGATCAAAGTGTATCTTGTGATTATTTTTGTGAATGGCTAGCTGGTATGTGCCACTGGATAACCCGCACTGCTGTTTTTGGAGCTTTCAATGACAAAAAACTATACCTATGGTTTTCTCATTACAGGAAATGTTGAGTTTCCTTTTTCCCATCACGCTCTTTATAGCTTATGATCGTAAGTTGTGTTCCAGAGCGTTTGAGTTCTGACAGAGGAAGTCTCCTGAGTGCTATAAACCCTGTACTCATGCTCTTTCTCTTTAAATAGATTTAAAAGTGTTGCTTAGCTGCTTGTGTAGAAATAAATGGCAGTGACCTGTGTGGCTCCTGCAGTGGGACTCTGGGCGAGGTGTTGCAGCTACGGTCATATTTTCTCAGGTTTTGTGATGCAGGCTAAACGTTATTTCAGTCATTGTGATGCTGAAGTCAACAGAAAAAAGGGTGAGTAAATTATTTTAGTTACAATGTCATTCAAAAAGCAGCACCATCAAATCTTAATGGCTGAATCAAATTGGCTTTGAATCGCAGTGTATCGTGTTGTTGTTGCATCCGATCGTAGATTGTGCATCTACATATGTATCGAATCGTCAGAGAGTTACACACCCTTTTTAGTAACAAAACAATGTCTTCTTTAATCAGACACTGTCCACAAACTGGGCAAGTATGTAGGGAAACCAACTGGTGCTAAAGAACAAGTAAGAGTGTTTTAGAAAAGATTGCACACGGAGTAGTGCTGGCTAAATTTCCCCTGGCTCATATGGCACTGGCTGGGTTAACAGGTGCCAGATCAATTAAATTAAATGTACTAAAATCTAGTAAAAACCAGCCCCTACATCATATTGTTGCACCTTAATTTGCACAATTTACTCCTTAGCCAGCAGCTCTTGTGGCACAGAGAGGGTATGAACCATTTATCTTTAGCCCACAGTTGCTGAGAAAAACAGTTTACACAGCACTTACAAGGAGCACAGAAATATGGCAGAAATGTTTCTTCCGCTGGCCACTGCTGTAGATTTACTGTGTGTTACTGTGCCGACAATTCAAAGCCACCAGAACTCTTGTACTTTGCTTCGGGACACTCGTATTGATGTAGACGTGTTGCATAAGGGCTTCAAGTATATCTGGATTCACTCCTTTTTTCTCCATCTGTTACTTCATGTCTGCTTGGCAGAGTGTCCAGAGACAAACACTCCTGGCTACTGTCCTCACTTCTGTGTTCATGAGTCTCAAACAATCTTCCTTATTGCTTCAACAAACCTTTGTCTTTCTCTCTCTTCTGTGTCTCGTAAGTTATCTGAAACCTCAAGGTGGAGTGTGCCTTCACTTTAAAGGCTCGTACTGGCTGTGGCAATGTTTTCAATATCCTCAGAGAACGTAATTTAAAGACTTACTTTCCTGGATTATTTTACTCGAGTCGCAAAAACTTTATTGTTGCTCCTGAGACATAACATCAGCCCCCGTTTGGTGATTCCATGTCATTTATCATGCATCATCTTTCCGAAGTAAATGAGGAGAAATGTGTAAATCTAGTAACATTAGCTAACCTAAATAGATTTAAATCATTTCCAACCCCTCCCATGGTGGTTTCACAATACCCGCCTTCCCATTAAAAAGCACTTATTTCAAAGCATATGCAGAAAGTATCAAAGGTAGCTTTACGTCTCAACATTGTGCTACTGTGGCAGATCAGAAAACAATGGGCCTCCTGCTGTGACAACGCTGTTGAGTGACAGGACAACTGCTGGCAAATACTGAAAATAAGGCAGGATTATGCACCGAGGATTGCTGTGGCACTGGAAATTCAGGTGTGGCAAACCTCCAGCAGTGAATGAGCTGAAACACTGAACATCCACAATTTTGGACACAGTACAGCGAGGAGGATTAAAGCTGATCTTTAGGGATAACTAACTTGATGTTTATATCATGTCAGAGGGACACACTCTTTGGTCTTTGGTCCTGAGATACCTAAACTGATGTCTGCAAACAGTCTGCAGTCACGACTACAATAAAGGTTCCTGCTTAATGAGGAGCTCTTAATGGGGATATTATAATGAGGATGCTTGTACAATAAAGGCAGACATCAAAGGCAAGGGGCAAAGTGTGTGCGTTCTACTCACAGACATATCTACATGCTTCCCATGTCATTAAGCTAATCACCGAAAGCACAGCAGTCCTTCAGAAATGAGCGCTGAGAAACATACAGTCTGTATATACCTGACGCCTTTTTTTTTTAAAGCAGATTCTATGTAAGATTGAGTGGAATATTTTATTCAGAAAAAGATCAATTCTGATATTTATGACAAGCCCTTCGATAATAAAAAAACTATCTGAAGAATCTGTAACAACCCTGTTATCTTGTGTGTGTTTGTGTGTGTGTGTTTGTGTGCATATGTAAAAACTAGGCAAATCGTACTGGAAAGTTCTGTAACATTGCTTTCACACACAGACGCTAGGCATGCAACATTATGAAAATGTCATTCAATATTATCACGATAATCCAAACTGGAATCACGTTAACCTACATTTTGCTAACAAACATATCTATTGGATACCAGACAGACATCTCATCTCCCTGAATTTTATACTATTTCCACACATCACCTTTAACTTTTTTTTGTGGGGTAAGACTTAAGCTTGGTGACAGCTTTAGGGTTTTGGAATGAATGGAAAGATGTGGGCTCCCTCTTGTCCCCTTATTCAAGATAAATCTGTATATGCTGGAGATATAAATGAATCTAATGAATTAATGAATCTATTTTTTCCCATCCCTAACAGACAATACCTGCTGTTTAACCTCGCTTTTTTGTCTTGTTAACAACCGACTGTCGGATGCGGATGCTGGACAGACGAGGCAGCCATACACAAACGCGTAGTTAAAAGCAACAATATCTCCAACCTTAAGCGTCAGACTCAAATAAAAAATTCAAAACACCAGAGCAAGAAAGAACGAAAGGGAGCGAGCTGGAACACAGGAAGAGTTCGATTCCTTCCCACTTATCCATCCAGCAGTGCTTGACTATGCTTTAATGTCTGTGTGTGCCCGCACTAAGAAGTAAACAGTAATAGACTTGTGTATGGATCCGCTGGACCCGTTTTTGGCTCTTTGCCGCTGGGTTTTATTGATAACAGCGTGGACGAGGTATCGCAGTCAATACACTCATTTCCTGTCCACACACACACTTTTGTGACTCCTGTGGTCTTGTGCAATGTCATCAAAATGAATTGATTTCGGGATTCATAAATTCATTATTTACACGTGTTTTTTGTGGAACTGACACATTTTCAGGATATTTAGAGTCTGTTTTAAGCATCTCAGAGAAATAGTTTCAATAAGTTTTATAACACATTAAGTGCACTGTGATCTATTACCAGCAGAGCCCATTAGAAGACTGTATAATTGTTTCTTACCATGCAATCATCCGGGCATTGGAGAATAGCTTTAGGTTTTATATCATGTCATTAAGGATACATTTACTACATAAAATATTAAACACCCAGCAATTTGGAGCTTATTATGTTTATTATATTATGTCTTGATTATACTAATCATCATGTGTTTATAATGCCTTAGTTAGTGCTTAGTGCGCTGAAGGAAACAATTATCTGATTAATGTTTGGTCTCTTGACTCCTTGATATTAAATTTTGTTTTATAAACTATATATTTGAGGTCATATTTTCTCATTTTAATATGTTTTCTTGTTTTATCATATTCACATGTTGCTATCAGTTCAGCCAGTGCACACATCGATGACTCATCTTAGACAGCCGGATGACTAAGTGCATCACCATCAAGGCCTTTTTCCATTCTATTGCTGATTGTAAACAAACACACACACACACACACACACACACACACACACACACACACTATATATATATATATATATATATATATATATATATATATATATATATATATATATATATATATATATATATATATATATATATATATATATATATATATATATATATATATATATATATATATATAAGCACCTTCCTAGTGAAGGGAGCCATCATAAGTCTTCTGTATTATAGTTCACTTACACTGACCTACATGTGGTGAAATTCAGTCGGACATCTCCTTGCTCATCTTGTCACGTCTATGTATAAAGTTTATTTTAATACTATTTCATACATTAGATCATTCGCGCAAAAAGTGTTGAACTGAGTCACAGCCAATAAAAGTCCAAATAAAACCGCTAACATGACTTTCAGGCTTTGTCTGAAAAGTGGCATCAAGCAGATAATTTAGTTACGTATTTTTTTTCGATTTCATTAGCTTTAAATAATAAAACATTTTACGAGTCTTGGGAGTCCGCTGGGCGCAGGCATTCGTCCTTGGCAAGTGAGTTCGTGAGTTTGTTGGTGTTTTAATGAGTAGAAAACGATGCTTCTGTGGTTCTGGGTGATGGCAGGATGCAACACAGATCACATCTACGTTGACGTAGCTTGGTTACATACACAGCAAGACAACAAAATATGTCTCAATACTTAAGACAGATATATCTTTACCTCATCTTTTTCTCCTCCTCAAACGACATGTAAGTAATATATCTCACAGTCTTACAGATTTGGATGAAACTTTGCAGACAGGTGGTGATCTAAATCTGGGATTTCCACCAAATCTAGTTAGTTTTGTTTCTTGGTATTGTATGTTCATTCAAGTGCTAGTGGGAAAGCATAATGTTGACTAGTGATCTCTCCACGTTCTATTTGAAGGGAAAATCAAACCCAAATAACTGAGTAAAAGTTGCACTCTAGCACTCTTTGGTCTGTCTTTGTCTCTAAACTGCTAGCTGCTAAATTATTTGTTTTATTTCACCTCCAGTTATTTTGATGTGAGACACAGTGTTCTTATCTCTTGTTCACAAATCTTTCATTTTTAAGCACATTAACACCTGAACAGCTTTAAAGGTGTTTCACATTAAATTCACATTAACCAAAATGCATGCTAATGAAAGTGCCAAGTCTTTCAAGGCTCCTCTCCACCACGGGCATCAATGATTCAAGCCTCTATTGACGACATTATGGCTTGTGGCAAAGGGTCGAGGATTTTGTGAAATCAATGTAGTTGATCGCCACACACACACACACACACACACACACACACACACACACACACACACACACACACACACACACACACACACCCTTACCACACTGAAGTCGAGGTTCTTCTCTACCCAGTCAGTAGCAGCATCAAAGTCTTCGAACATTTCCATGATGTAGAGGGTGTCCAGAGCATCCACTATCGTCGCTCCCTTTATGCTGCCTGCAAGAGAAACAGATAGAAAGATTAGAAATAGACTTTAACACAGAATTTAGGTCTTTCTTTTACACATTTAGACATATTATCGTTCTGTAAAACAAACGGTGAAATCCTTGGAAGGAAGCTGAACAAAAAACCCTCAAGTTGAACTTGTTCCAATGAGCAAAAACAGATGAAGTTCATCATGTTAAAAGCTTGTTAGTCAGCGCACCATTCCTTTTATTAGTATGAATGACAACAGGTGTTAGCAGCAGTCTAGCTGAAATAGCACTGAATAAACAGCAAAAGTTTAGAGTTATGTTTGGAGGTTGAATAAATTATTTCGCTCGACAGATGGTGAGAGGCAGCGATTATCGGCGCTGATGAAACGTCGGGAGTATTGCTCATCTCTAGTGATTAGCCTCATAGCAGGAGGGAAGACACACAGAGACACACAAACCATCATTTCACCGCTGTCATTACCCAAACCCCTTTAACGAATCAAACACCACCCGAACACCTCAGTTTGTGTATGTGCCAGCGAGCTCAATAAATCATTAAGCATGCAGCGCCGGGGCCCGCAGCAAAGCTTTTAGTCCTAACATACTTGTTATAAACACAAGACCTCATCTGTCCGAGCTATCTGACCACTTAGGGCTGAGACAGAAAAGGAAAAACTAAATAGAAATGGAGGTTGGGGAGGAGCAGAAAAACGAACAAGCCAAATCAGTAAGACAGAGAGAGACAGCAGATATGAAAACATTAATACATCGGTGTATCTAGGCCGACCTACAGAGAGAAGGGCAGGGAGTAAAGGTAGAAGGAAATATAGTCAAGAGGAAAAACACTGAAATAATAATAGGGATAGAAAAAGTCCAAGTCAGGAGAAAAAAAAAGTTTGGAAATGATGTGGCTACAAAGTAGAGTCAAGATGAAAGCCAGGAAGCTGCTGGTTTGTTATTGTGTGAATCTGTGGGTTTACATCCCTCTGTAAGTGGTGGGAGGATGCAAAGGCAGCTAAAAGCTTTCCATTAGACGCAATGCTGAATCATCACCTAGAGGTGCAGGGCTCCTGTTGTCCATCAATACTGTGCTTCGTACTGGGTCTGGAAATTATTAGTATTTCTTTAAAATCCCCACTGTGAGACAATTCGGCCAACAGTCACTAGCTGTGGAGGTGATTTCCATTGTAAAGCAATGGATACGAATAATATTCTTGGAAAAGGCTGCTGATAAAACATAATCATTAACTTTACAATGGTAATGGTATTTAGTCCGGCAGGGGACACTGAATCTCTTCAGAAAAGCTTTGGTTCCCCTCTCTGTGTGTAAGAACAAAGCTAAAACACAGGAAAAAATTTGCATCAAGACTTGAATGACATTCCCCAAAGAACAACAGAGAAATATGTTCTACAAGTAGTTATGTAGAACATTTCTATAGAACTATTTCGACAGTCCGGTCTGACTGTATCGGCTGTAACTTCTGCTTTTTTCCAGCTCTGTTGAACCAGATATGTGTTATTTAATGAGCTTTAGGAAGTGTGAGCAGGATCTTACTTGGGACAGAGCCAGGCTATCCGTTTCCCCTTACTTCCAGTCTTGATGCTAAGCTAAGCTAATCGCCTCTTGGCACCAGCACCACACTTAACTCACAGTTATGAGAGTGGAATCAAACTACTGATTTAAGAAGAAAATAGTAAGAATGACACATGATATCGATAAGGATAGTAAAGGGCCATCTGATGATACTTTGAATGTTGTGTCCAGCCTTACACCGTGTTACAAAAAGAGAGAGCATGTGACTGAAGTGTGTCAGCAGATCTAGTTACTGTCGGAGTGACTTGTCCTTCCTGTTTTTCATCCATCTCACATTTTCACTCCATTGAAACCTCCAGAGCGACAAAGGGAGGACAAGACACTTTCCTCTCGTCCATTGTCTTGTCACTGCGCTTCCTTCCCCCTCACTGCTCTTTCTGTATCTGTGTGTGTGTGTGTGTGTGTGTGTGTGTGTGTGTGTGTGTGTGTGTGTGCGTGCGATGTGTGTGAGAGAGAGAGAGAGAGAGAGAGAGAGAGCGGTACAGATGGTCAAAGACTGACCAGAATACTAATACTAAATATTAGAAGAACAACGTTCTTCACGGTTTGTGAGGTTGTAATGTTAGTTGTTCTTATTTTACAAGTGCATACACGTTTTTATGGAGTATGTCTGTACAGTTTTTGATGATGATGACATATAGATTATTAGTAGAGTTAACGTTGTGATGATTACTTTAATATCTAAGGGCTCGGACATTGAGACTGCTGTGGCCAATAAGATCTTTGTTCAGGCTGAAGTTGGGCAGAGTTTCACTTTGAATTACAAGATCTTACGAACCTATATGTGCTCAACATTAGATTGTTTCCAGCTTGTCAAAAGGAAGATGTGCTGCTTTTGTTCTCTTATGAAAAAAAAAAAACTAATATTCTGATAAGTTCTGGTTGATTTTGAGTTTTCAACTGTTGGTCGGACAAAACAAGCAATCTGAAGGTGTAACACCCTGGGCTCTGGGACATCTTGATGGGCATTTTTCACAATTATTCGACATTTCGTAGACTAAACGATGGTCAAAAATACAATGAGCAGACTCATCGATAATAAAAATAATTGTTAATTGAGGCCCTGGATTTGCTGGTGCCTCACTGATCCTACCTGAACATTAAGTTATTGCGTAAAATATTAAGAATACTAGCTTTTCCACACACAGATGACACTGCTCAAAGATTGGGACTGTAATTAAAGAGATCTCTGATGTTTGTGAGACAGCTTGTCCAGGGTCACGGTGGCAGAGGGCACCAAGAAATCTGCTAAAATCAGCTTGTAACGAGATCTGGGATTTGTGTCAGTGTCCAGATGGGAGGACTATAAAAACTGAGACGGGATTCAGCGGAGGTCCTTGAGGTTGTGAGCGCAAAGTCCAATGATCTTGGAGGTGATGATGTGTGTGCTGCTGAGGATTTGTCTGTGTTTGCGACTGCGAGCGTGGTGAAGCAGCAGATGGCTCAGCAGAGGGCAGCCTCTATGATGCTTCTGTAAAACACGAGTGCTGGCGGAGGAGGAGATGCCTCTCTGTAAAGACAGAGCAGTAGGGGAGGACAGGCCTTATGATATTTGCTGTAGGTGGTAGGCCTGTCACAGTGGGAGAATCCTTACATTTGCAAAAGTTCTTTCTAGAAAACCTTCTGTTGCATGTCCTCCACTCTTATTTGAAGAGAAATACTCCCACTTGCTTTGTTTCCTGTTGCTGCAACCAGTGTGGGTGCATGAGAAAACATTCAATTCAATCCCTCCTCTTTGCAGCTACTTACTTTTCATTTATATTTTCTGTCTTCATCGTGTCATTAATTATAGAGTTGTGTGTCAGAGGTGAAGCTCGTGATTGCAGTAGGTTCTTCAGTCAACAGTTAAATGACAAAAGGGACGGTTCGAGGAAAATGAGGCTCCTACGCTCGGAGTGATGCTCAACCTTTCTGACACAGCCTATAAAGCAGAACATGGGGAAGTGAGAAATGGATGGATAGATGAAAAATGAAAGAGCTGGTGTCCTCAGAAGACAAGAATCATTACCTTTCTGCTTCCAGACAGAGAATAAGGATAGATGGGAGAAGGATGGCAGAAGAAATGGGAGACTCGAGGTCCAAAAGCCATTAACGAACAGTATCAGTCCCTCCGTTCCTGTGTGCCTCGAAACACAATCCATCCAGTTGCTCCTCTTCCTACATCACTTGTCGTCTAATGAGCAATCCATCAATCTTTCGCTCTTTTTCTCTTTTTAAGTACTTTTATCCTTCCTCTCTCCTTCTCTACTCCTGCCTCCTTCCTTTCTTTATCCCCCCCCCCCCCTTCCTTTGGTTGTTTGTCCCATCGTGCATCCATCCATCCACTGTTTTCCTTGCTCTAACAGAAAATGAGTGAAGAGGGGCGTGATGGATGAATAAAAAAAAGAAAGCACCACACCTTGCAGCCCTCATTCATCACCTGCATGGGCAGATATCCTCACTCTGCACCAAACACACTAACACACACACACACACACACACACACACACACACACACACACACACACACACACACACACACACACACACACACACACACACACACACACACACACACACACACACACACACACACACACACACACACACACACACACACACACACACACACCTGTCGTGCCCTACAGAATGTCATGGTACAGATTCAGAGCTATATTAGCATGGTGTCAATAATGACGCCAGCTTACTGCAATCCTTCCTACACTGCTGTGTGTGTGAGTGTGTGTGTTTGAGAGAGAGAGAGAGAGAAAGGCAGGAGAGTGATGCATTGTTTGGCTGTTCAGAACAAAATAACCTTCACTTCACGCAATCAGGCGGCGAAGACAGAGCTGTAATCTGTGATGTTGTGATGTGGGAGTGTGCATGAGTGATTGACAAATGTGATGTTGCTTTTTCTCTTACAGACAGAGACACACACACACACACACACACACACACACAGTGCTGACTGTTGACAGGAGGTCAAAATGTCAACATTATCCCTACTTATTCAGTCGTAGCTGAAGAGTATATATTTTGAATCTATAAAGAGGAGGTGGAATAACAATTTGACTGTATGTGTTTACACAATAAACCTACACTGATCCCCAACTGTATATGTGCCACATTTTGAAGCATTTAAATGCACTTTCAGTTTGTTCTGCTGCTGTTTTGCACACAAACATGCTACGATTCTTATCTTCATATTTGTTTCATATATTTCTGATTTGTAGGTTATATTGAACACCGGTTGTTTTCTCTGTTTTTGGTTATAATTATAACAGTGGGACAACAACATGAAAAGCAGGATGATTAAAAAAAAGAATTTAAAGGAGAAAACCATGAGATGCCCCCACTATACACGTAGGTGCACAGCTAAGCAGCGAGCCGAACACACTTCCAATGACAGGTTGAAGAAAGCAGGTTGTAGTTTTTATTGGAAGCAATTG